GCCTCCAAAAATGGGGTTCAGCTTCCCACCGCTCTGATGCTTTGAAATCTTTATGTGGTGGATGGGGGCTGAATTCAGAGAAACGCTGAGCACTTCGAAAGCATGTGAGACTGGGAGTCAGTGAGCCTCGGCTGGGTGGAGTGATGTGAATTGCAAATGGTTTTGTTTTAGCTGAGCCAAAAATTGCTTCCTTTCCCTTTCAAGGTCTGTAAGCCTGTGCAAAAAAAAGTTAATTCTGAAAAAAACCCCATAGCTTTAAAATAACTCTTTTTCCCCTTTTATTTTTGTCCCAGAATAGGTTGCCAATATTGCAACAAATTTGCAAACACCTTAGTTTCCTTTAATTTATTCATTGTAAAAACTTCCTCTAACTCCTGCTCCTCATTCAGAATCTGTTCTTATGAATGTCAGGAATCAGGGAACTTGCAGTGATGTTTATATGCAGAAGATGTGAGCAAAAAAAAGATATTGGATAAATTCATAAGAAACCAAGATTCATTGGGAAAAAAGTCAGAGTACGGCTTTTGACTCCAGTATTGATTATATTGAGAAGTAAAGCCTGTCCCTGAGTTTAATCCTGCTCTACTTGCCGGTAAAACGCGCTGCCGTCACACGCTGGAGCCGAGGAAGCATTTTCATCAGCAATCCCTAGAAATGCCTTTGTTTATTTGCACGGCCGCCCAAAGGCTTTAGCCGTGCTCGTGGCCGGGTGTGCGAAGGCTCCCCGGGACAGGAACGTCACTGTAGCAAGAGCTGGCTTGTCCTCAGGTCAGAAAGGAATCAGAAAATTCAAATCCATCTCCCCAGCTGCGGCAAAAACGTAAAATTCCTCAAGTGAGGTGAGAGGGCAGTGGGTGCCAGGCGATGTCAGCAAGAAGGTAGCAGAGGCGCTAATTAAACAGCTCCTCCCTCTCTCAGGAATCAGCTTCCAAGTCGATGCTGGCTTCTTTGCGTATGGATGAGGAAACACACAGCCAGGCTTCAGACCTAGCCACCAAACCACTAAGAGCTCAGCGTCAGCTGTGGCGGCGGAGGGTGCGGGTTTGGCCAGCCGGAGCAGGAGGGGTGGCCCGCAGGCCTGGCACTGACCCGCCAGGGCCTCCTGCAGCGTCTCG